CCAACTTTTAATATATTTCTTTCTTTGCTGTCTGCTTAACCAAACATTACCTTAAAACTAAACATGATCTTAACATGTATCTTTAAATCACAAAGATTAAAAAGATGTAACATCTAATTAATTTATTACATACCTTCAAATATCATAAAATTTGATATATTTATAATTATGATGAATTTGTTTAAAATTATTGTTATATTCAATTTTGTGCATTTGAATTTAGATAAAAATTCAATATGACAAGTTGTCCCAATTTACATATTTTAAAATTAAAATTAAAATGATGCCACATCTAAATAATTCTTTGTATAGTAAATTCTTATTTGTTAGTGTTTATAGAAAAGCCATAAAAGTTAATTTTTAAATTTTATAATTAAAACTTAATTTTCATAAATTAAATAGTTGTAAGATGAAAAGTTCTCACTATAATTATGTAAAAAATAAATTATTATTATTATTATTATTATTATTATTAAAATAATAATAAAATATCTTTTATCATTTTTAGTTTATTATGTATTTTCACATGGTCTTATTTAATATCAATATTTTTAATTAATTTTATATAATCAATTTTTTTAAATTATTATTGTAGCTAATAAACTCAAATATCATACTTTTGAAAAAAATAATAATGAAATAAGAGAAAAATTCATTTAAGTTTTAATAATCAACTTTATCTAAAAAAACAAGTAAGAATCTATGAATACGACTAAAATGAAAGAAAGATAGAAGCATTTCTGCTCAAAGGAAAAAACAATGAAAAACATTATTTCAGTACAACAAATAGAAAAAATAAAAATATAAAAAGAAAAACTAACAAGGTTTAAACTTGATGAAAATATTTTCATGCATGCAACCACAACAATTATTATGAGAATTTTTTTTTTTCAGTTATTCTCTACACAGAAGATATTCAAACATTCACAGAACTGCAGCCACATTAATGTGATAGGCTTTGGTACATACAAACTGATATAAGCTTGATAGAGTAAAGTGGATCATTTCATGGTGATGTCTAAAACTTATTTTTGTTGGAAATAAAACTTTAGTAAAAGAGAGATTGACTCATATAAAATCAATATGAAATCCAATTAACAAAACCTATTTTGATTTGAAAATATTTTTCAGGAAAATACATGCAATAGTTATAATAAAGGAAGAAGAGAGTGTTAAAGGTGTTACCAAATTGCAATTTCAATTTTGCTCTTATTTTTTTCTTTGAGATTCTGATCTGTTTTCTTCTTCATACAATTTCTTCCTATTTTTCCTTATCAGTCCCCACTCTCTTTCTCTTTTTAGCCCTTTTCTTCTCTTCTCAGTCTTTTTTGTACCTCTCCTATCTGTCTTTTTTTTTTTTTCTACTCAGAAACTCATTTTTTCTAACTCTTTCCTCAATTATCTACCCTCTCTTTTTCTCTTCAATGTAATGGTATTATCTCTTGAGAGATATTCTGTACCAATTTATGGGCTTTGATTCAGGAAATTGAATGACTGAAGAAGCAAAAGACAATCAATGAGGAATGGTGAAATTTGCAACAAGGCTTCAGAGATATAATTGAGTGAGAAAAATATTGTGAAGTATAGTTGATTAAGGTGATTAAGGGTTGTTGTGAGTTAATTAGATTAAGGTAGAGAAGAAATGCATAAGGGTTTCTTATCATGTATTATTTTTCTAATTTTTGGAAAAGAACCCATATTAAAAGGGTTTCTTAGCATTTAAACTAAAAGAATTTTAATTAATTTATTTTTATAGTAGATATCTTAATTCCTAATATAGGTTACATGACACAATAATGTAGTATCTTGAATTAGTATTAATGAAGAGAAAAGAGTCCATGATAATAAAATAAACAAAAGAACAAGATTAGTTATTTACCTATCTAATTCATTTTAATGGAACATTTAAAATATTTTATGACAAAATTGGTTATTTGGATTGAGAATATGAAAAATAATTGAAATTTTAAAATTTAATGAGAGTATTTTGATTACTAAAAATAAAAGAATTTCAAATTCTACTTAAAAAGTAAGAATTTAAAATTTTCTATCTTTTTTTAAATTAATGTCGTCTCTATTTATTTTTTATTTGACTTATTTTTAATGGAGATATTTTTCACTCATATTGACTCGTTTTAACATGGATGAACCTAACTTGATCTAAATAAACATAGTCTAACCCATTTATGTTTGACCCATCTTGACCTAATTTGAACCAATTTAAAACGTTCTAACATAGTTAAATCATTTTAACATGATTGCTCTCAATATAATCATCGTGTATTAACCTAACCTAATTCATCTTGACCCCAATCTAACTCATCTTAATTTAACATATCTTAACCTAATCCAACCTCCTTAATCATGTTTGATCTAACTACCCAAAGTACGTTTGACCTACCATAACCTATCTTAATTTGACTTATCTTAGCCTAACCTAATTCATTTTGATTTGACTCTCTTAACTCGATGCATCTTATCTTAATCTGATCCAACTTATCTTATTTTTGTTTGTCTTATTCTGTTATGACACAACATGACCTAATTTGACTAGACATAATCCAATTCATCTTGATCTAACTTTGATCATTTCAATACAATTTAATATGACTTGACCCATTCCAATTTACTAACCTCTTGACGAATACAATTTACCTTCTCCAAGCCCGACCTTATTGATTATCATTAGTCAAGTATGTTGTTTATCTCCTTCATGTGAGTTTTAAAAGTGATAATAATACCCACAACATCCATATGTAACATAGACAAAATAAAAAATTAAAATAAAGGGAATCAAATTAGTTAATATATGTACATTCTAATTAATCATGGTATAAAAATAAATATATTATATAAAATCATTAAAAATTATAATCATTTACCAGTATTTAACACCAACCTAAAACAAATATATAAGAGGTACAATATTTTAAAATTATGTTTGATAATATTTTATATCATAAAAATAAACAATTATCTCATCTAATTTATATTGTAGGTTGCTTGACAATAATTCCAACATTATTCGTTAAATTTAATTTTGTAAGATAAAATTTATTATATTATCTTTTATTTTATTTTTTCTTAAACAATGAGTCTATACTTTTTGCTTAAACATCTTTAAATATTAACTTTTTTCTTCAGATCGATATCGAGATAAAACATCATCAAATGACCAACTAATTTATAATAAATAATATACATAATAAGAAAATTTGCTTACTTTGATTCTTCGTAGAATATTTTTTTATTTTTTAACTTCTATTTATTGGTTTTTAATATTTAACAAAAGAGAAAGAATTAAAGGAAAAAAAATACAATTTTTATCATATAGAAGAAAAACTATAGAGACAAAAAGACGAGAAAAAAAAATGTGAGTGAGAAAAGTTAAAAGGAAGAAAGTGATAAGATGAATGAGGAAAATATAAAAATAAAAAGATGAGAGAGAAAAATATGTAAATGAGAAATTGTAAAAATAAATAAAAGTTATATTTATTATTATATTTGTTGTGAAAGAAAAAAATATAGTAGTTAATAATTATATATATATATATATATATATATATATATATATATATATATATATATATATATATATATATATATATATATATATATATATATATATATATTCCTCTGATCTCTAATGCGAAAAACTTGATTGATCCACAGTGTGCACGAAACGTTCCAACAACCTGGAAAAAGACTTGACCAGGGACCAAGATAGGGACAAGTATTCGCACAAGACATTCTGCGTAGTAATTCTCTATCCTTTTATTATGTCAAAAGATATTTAAATATTAAAGAATTATACTTTATAATTAAGGTAACAAAACACAATCATAATTTACTATCTTCTTAATCATTTTACTAGAAAGATTAAAATAATTCACGTCATTTCAATTATAGAAGGAATAAAATACTTAGACATATTAGGATAAATATCAAAATTAATTTTTTTTCTCATGTATCATAACTGCTATAATAAGTTATTGAATGCTAAGTTCTCACTGGCACTTAGCTAGAAAATAAATTATGAAAAAATTACTTTTGTCCTTTTCATAAAGATCTTAGTGTACATATGAACATTTTTAAATAAATGTTTATTTCTGTTTTTACTAGTGAATTAGTGTAACATTGAAGTATATGAAGGCCATAATAGAAATTATCATAAACTAAATTATAATTAGTACTTCATGTTTTTTTTTCTCCACTATACGCATGTTTGGACAAGTCAGTATAACTCATTGACAAATTTAAGATGCGTCACGTGTGTTATATTACTGTAAAAGATATTTTCATACTAAAAAGATAATGTTTTGATATTAAGTGATGAAATACAATTTAATAATTAATATATAATATCATAAGAAATAAAAGATAATAAAATAATATGTAATAAGATAATAAAGAAATGATCAATCAGCATTATTTAATATATATTTTTTAAAATATATAAAAAATATATTTTTAATTTTTATTATAATATTTAATAATAAATTATTTTCAATTTGAAGATTAATCTCTACGAATATAATGGTAGTTGATGAATATAATTCATTACTTTTAAATCTCGTATATTCTCTGTTCGTGATTTTTATTAGTAACTTCAAATAGTTTAATATAAAAAGAATACTAACTAGGATAAGAAATAAGATAAAAGATATGTCAAATTAAGATATTTTCAGATAATAATTCAATTAAATAATATATTTATTATATTATACAAATTAATTAACTATATATTTATAATTAATTAATATTTTTTTGTCTTGGAACAATAATATAGTATTTATAATTATTTTGAATGAAAATATATACTAGCTAGTTTTATTAGTTTGATAGTGAAAATCGTAATATTTATCTGATAATAATTTCTTTGAATATGTTTTAAAGAATATGTTAATATTGAATCAGAATTTTATTACCCATCATAAATTTTCAATTATTATAATCACAAAAAAAAGGAAAAGAAAAAAGAAAGATTGGATTGAATAATACTATGTATTTGATATGCACATAGGAAGGAGGAAAAGCATCAGTGACCGTACGATTAAGAAGGAGGAGATGATGGAATATGAGCCGTGGGATGAAGGAATGTGGAAATGAAAGGAGTCTTTAAGTAGAAAGAGGAGAGAGCGATCTAACCCTTTTGGGTTCGCTGCGTTTGCAATTCGCAATTTGGTGTCTCTTTCTTTGTTGCGGTGAGTTGAGAAGGTGGTGAGCGTGTGCAATGGAGAGGCATCGCTCTTAGGGTTTGAGGCACATTGCATTTGCGAGGTCACGCTGTACACAGCCAGGTTCTCAATTGGATTCTCCTTAGGGTTTCGAACGTTTTTCTTTTCATCTTCCATCGCTCATTCTCGAGATCTAGGGTTTATGCTTCCGTTATTCTTTTCGCCTTTTCCTTTCCTTTTTCGCGATTCTTTCATTTTTTGTCTCTGCTTCATTTTAAATAATGAGCGTGTCATTGCTCATTTGGCTGTGCGAAATAGGGATATTGAGTAATCTTGCATCTGATTAAGCCACGATTTGGTATTTCGGCCTGAAAACGGAAAAGCTCGTGTGTCTTTCGACATTTTTTATTGGAAGGAAATTGGGAAACGGACAAACTGAAATAAGCCCATAGGGTATGAGAGAAGTACACCCGTCACTGGGTTTTATGATATTTTGCTTTAAAATTTGGAGGATAAGGCTTGATTTGTGCTTCGTGGTATTGGGAGTTTCTTCAGAGATTGTTGTGTGGGAGTGAACTTTGTTGCGGCGTTGATATGTGCAGTTGTTGGAGGTTTATCTTATGGCACCAACTGTACCTATAGAGTTTGCTGGACAAAAGGAATCCCGAAAGTACTCTCATTCACAGAATATGGGGAAGTCTAGGAAATACTCCAAAGCCTATGCTACTGGTTTTGTGCCTGATTTTCGGCATGCTGTTGAGACTATGGGTGAATCGGAAGGGTTGGGTAGTTTGGGAAGGGTTGATACGGAGCTGACGGCATCAGCAGATTCTTGTGCACCTAAGAGGAAATGTCCTGGTTTGAACAGCGGTGGTTATGGTAGTTTTGATGTACCTTTTCAACTTTTCTCTCTGTCAAGGATGTCGAGTTTTGAGAGAAAGGATTTGAAAACTAGGTTGACATGGGAACTTGAACAGGTAAAGGAATTTCAGAAGAAAGTTGATAGTATGAACTCAAATGTTGTTGGATTATCACCCTCCAGTGACATTAGGAGCTGCAGTGCAGGGCAAAAGAGGCCTAAGCTGGATAGCCAGCATATGACTATGGATGTATCGGTGCCACATGGTAAGAAAAGGCCCTTACCGGGAAATAGTGGTCCCAAGACAAAGAAAAGTATATCTGGGCGCTCTGAATTTGTAAAACCTGCTGCACCAGTGACTTCACATGCTGCCTTCATGAAACCTTGTGAGGCATTACTTAACCGATTGATGACTCATCAGTTTGGTTGGGTTTTTAACACACCAGTTGATGTTGTTAAATTGAACATTCCTGATTATTTCAATGTCATCAAACATCCAATGGACTTGGGTACTGTGAAGAGGAGAATAACCTCTGGTGAATACTCAAATCTCATGGATTTTGCTGCTGATGTGAGGCTGACTTTCTCAAATGCAATGACTTATAATCCACCTGGCAATGATGTACACCTCATGGCAGATACCCTTACTAAAATTTTTGAATCGAGATGGAAGGCCATAGAAAAGAAAATTCCTGTTATTGATTGTGTCCCGTCTGAGCCTTCAAGACCTACTCGTGTGGAAACAGAAATTTCTGACCGAGTTCTTCCCACTAAAAAGAAGAAAATAATGCCAAATAATGTCAAGCCTGAGCCTCTTAAAAAAGTAATGACTGTAGAGGAGAAGCATAAATTGAGTGTGGAGTTGGAGGCCATGCTTGGAGAGCTGCCTGATGCTATTGTTGATTTCTTGAGGGAGCAAAGTTATAATGCAGGGCAAACCAATGATGATGAAATTGAGATTGATATAGATGCTCTTAGTGATGATACCCTATTCAAACTGCGGAAGCTTCTTGATGATTATTTGCTGGAGAAGCAAAGATCCCAGGCAAAAGCTGGACAATGTGAAATGGAGGTCTCTCACCCTCCCTCTCTGTGTAACTAATACATTTGTCCAGCTTATATGATATATTTGTGATATAAATTATATATTCTTAATTACGTTATTCATTGAATAGTTGTTCTGGAAATTTGTTTAAAAGCTTATAATACGTCAACAAAGGGAAGATAAACTAATTGCAAATTCTATTAAGTTATTGGATCATGCCTTGCCTTGTGATAACATTCAATCTAACAATTGGATTGATAAAAATTTGACATTAAAAAATTCCATGTAGTGTGTTAAGAATCTTACACAAGATAGTTGATTGCTTGATTATTAATGTGTGTACACTAAACTATTATTATGTGAGATGTCTATGAAGCATATATGGTGTGTATGTCTATGAGGCATGTAGGGTGTGGATACCATTTTGATAATTTTTTACTTGTTTGATTTTTATGCAGCTTCTGAATGAATCAGGGTTCAGTAATTCACCAGTGCAACCTTGCAAAGGTATATTCTGTTTGCTATGCTGATATTTTTTTTGTGCCCTTGTTATATAAATAATTGACAACAAGTATGGTCTTTTATTTCTCACTGCAAATGCAGGCAATGAACAGGTCGAGGAGGATGTGGACATTGTTGGTGGAAATGATCCTCCTATTTCAATTTATCCTCCATTAGAGATTGAAAAAGATGGTACTAATCGAAACAGTAAATGCAGTAGTTCAAGCAGCTCTAGTAGTGAATCTGGCTCTTCATCCAGTGGTTCGTGTTAGTGCATACTTTTGACACTTTTCAGGATATGTTTTTCTTTCACTCGACTTCTAAATTCAGTGGATACTGGCAACTCTGCTTATTTTGCTCACGATCCTAGCAAAATTAATCACTTATATATATGAATTCTTTATGTTTACATAATTTGTTCCTGACAGTACATGCAAATGACTAGTGCAATTTGTGGTGTTTCAGATTCAGACTCAGGTAGTTCATCTGGTAGTGAGTTGGATATGGCTAAGACATCAGAACATCTTAGTGCTACCAAGGTAATTCAAATACATTATTAAATGCCGTATTCTGATAAAAATTAACAGGCTAGTGGTTTGACCGGTATCTTTGCTCACAAAAGGCTATGTAATGCAGGAAAATGTAGGATCTGGCTTGACCTTAGATCAAAATAAAGGGGATCGTGGTAATTCAGAAACTGAAAAGGGTGAGTACCAAAAGTTGATGTCAGTAATGATGTCCATATTATGGTTTGTTGGCATTATTTTTTATGAGGACGCCTCAGCCAGTGTTGCCTTCTAAGCTCATTATCTCTTTTTCTAGATTCAACAAATGTGGGAGGCCAAGTTGAGCAGTCTTCCCAGAGTAAGCTTGTTACTTCAGAACCAGAAAGTCATCAAGAGGGTAAGCCTGAAAAATTGAAGAAACCTGTCTGCTGTTTGTTTTGAGGGTATGATCTCACCGTTCATGCTGTAACATTTTAGGGGAGAGTGCTGCATCTAAGAGGCAAGTCTCTCCCGAAAAGCTCTACCGTGCAGCTTTATTAAGGAGCCGATTTGCTGACACCATTCTTAAAGCTCAGGAGAAAGCCCTTGAAAAGGTTTGTTAAGGGGGTAACATGTTGATTTCAATTTTAATTCTTCCCATGAGTAGAACAGGTCTATTGGGTGAAATTGAGACATTTGAAAAACCTCGAAATCATTTAAGTTTTTCCCTCTTCCCTCCCATAGAGTAGATCTGTGACTTCTAGGGTATCAACAAATCTAGTAATTTCCAATTTACCATCATATCGATTGCCTGCATTTTTGCAAGATTTTATGTCTGGTATTTTAACTCTGTCATGATCTCAGGATGACAAGCGGGATCCTGAAAAACTTAGGATAGAGCGAGAAGATCTTGAAAGGAGGCAGAAAGAAGGTGTGTTTGTTATTTTAAATCTGAGGGATTGTAATATTTGTTATATAAGATCAAAATTCCCGTCAAAATACTGCCCCTTGTTTCAAGATTCAACTGAAATTTCCAATTTTTTTGTTTGGTGCATTAGAGAAAGCCCGGTTGCAGGCAGAGGCAAAGGCTGCAGAAGAAGCTCGGAGGAAAGCTGAAGCAGTAGCTGCAGCTGAAGCCAAGAGGAAAAGGGAACTGGAAAGAGAAGCAGCTCGTCAAGCATTGCAAAAGGTAACATTAGTAAGGAAAGTATGTTAAGATGCAAATTCAGATTCCATTTATGTTACACTGAATCTTTCTGTTTGCAGATGGAGAAAACTGTTGATATCAACGAGAGCAGTCAATTTTTGGAAGATCTTGAGATGCTTAGTGCTGTACATGATGAACCTCTGCCAAGTTTCAAAGAGGAGATAAGCGCAGATCTACCTCAAAATGGATTGGGTAGGATCAAGCTGCAGGGAAATCCCTTAGAACAGCTAGGATTGTATATAAAGGATGAAGATGAGGATGAGGAGGAACTACCTTCTTGTGGTGCTGCAGGACCCTCAAATGATGTGGAAGAAGGAGAGATTGACTGATTTGTTCCCATTGATTTTGATTGTGATATTATTTTGGGAAATATATAAAAAGGGTGGTTCTTGGGAGCAGTTGATGGACTAAGGGATGCTGCTTTTTGTGGCTATGGGTGCAGAATATAATCACTATTTGTATGGTCTGATGCTAGTTCACACCTAAGTTTGAAGATGGGATAGCGAAAACTTATAGCAAAGGAGTGAATATTGGATTTGGTTTTGCTTCTTTCTGATTAATTTTGGTTTTAAGGGAAATGATTTCTGAAAATGTGGATAGCAAGCTGGCAGCCCCCCATTTATTAAAGGGCTTTGATATCTTGGATGGAAAATTTGTATCAATCAGGATGTCCAATTTTGCTTGTAAAAATGAACTCATTTGTAACGAGTTCTTGGTCTGACACTTCTTCCATTTAGTTTAGCATCTGACAATGTAAAATATTTTAGAGCCAGGATAAAATCAATTCTTTCTATTTATTTTTTCCTTTTGATCCAGTTTAGTGGTGTGCCTTATACCGAGTTTAATCGTCTAAAATGATATGAGCTGTCTTTGGTTTTCTGGATTTGCAAAATTACATTTGTACATCATTAAAACGAAATTATTAATTTGATCTGAAATTGGGTGAGGAGGGCCTATGCTCGGTTATCAAAAACAAGGTTTGCAAGAATATATCGTGTTAGAAATCGCAAATAAATTGGATTGCCGTTACTGCCAAAATTTATGCACATTCTCAGACTAACTGTACATTCTAATTTATACATCAATCCTCAAACATGCCTTCACCTGATACTGTAGAAGACTCGGTGCCATTAACATGAGGTTGATCTGACAAGTTACTATCGAGACTGTTCAAAACACTGAAGTCAAAATAGTCCTCGTCCTCACTCTCATCTTCATCACTTTGATCATCCTCATCTTTGCCTTCCTGTTCTTTTGACTGGGCTTCACTTTCCATTTGTTCCTTGACGCAATCATCGTACGACATTCCATACCAAACATCAGCCTTGCCCACAATTTTTTTGTTATGAATATCTGTCATTCGCTCTTGAATGCTCTTCTCTGAATTCTTAGGTTCCCCCCAGTAGTCATAACGGTACAGTGGACTTGTAGGATCATATTTGTCTTTGTCAAAAAAACTAGCATCCATATACCTTCCTGGCTCTTCCAATGGCAGACCAAGTGCTTTGCGACTGCAGAAGGGAGAAATAGTAGTTAAAAATCAACGCATCATAACAAGGAAGGAATTATGTTGATGAATATCAACATCATACTACCAGCTTATGTCTCTTATCAATGCTTCTCTTTCCTCAAATGATCTACGCCAATGCATGTAGTCATACTCATCCATCTCAATATTGCGCCTCAGCTTTTTAATTTTGTATTTTTCACCTCTCTCCGCTGCTTCTTTCCCTAATTTAACAAGGTGCTGTGTACCAAAAAGGTAACATATCAGATTTTGGAAAAAGGAAAACTACTCCCATGACAAAATACAAAAATAAAAATTATGATTGTCCATATGGTAAAATTATTTTTCACAGATTGAACTATGATCTTACTGGTCAAAAGGTTAATAGAAAAATAAATCTGTCTGAATACCAATAAATTTTTAGCCATATCTGTTTACATTTTGGTCAATGGACATGAGATCAGAGCACCAAGCAAATCTGACAAAACTTGAAGGAAAAGGTGCACCCATATGGGAAGGAGAAAATTTTGATAAATCAAAGGATGTAAATGTGAGTATTCAGTGAACAATTTTAGGATGACTTTCATTTTGTTGAACAAAATTAAAGGCATTTCCCCTGGCAAAAGGTGGCCCCTTCTAACCATCTTAATGTGCATTACCAACAATCGCATAGAAAAAACTTTTAGCAAAAAGAAAAGCTGACCTCACGCTCAGCAAGTGCAGCCTCTAAATCAAGTTCATGGACACTTGTTTTCTGCAAAAGTGTTAAAAAAAATACTTCAAACAAATTCGCAACCATATAAATGCAAATTTATAAGAATAGTACCCTCACCAGAATAGTTTTTGGTATTAATGTATTATTATATTTAACTTTGGTATACTCAACATCATTTTGTTCATCAAAATCTTCTTCATCAACCAAATCTGAAGGCTTTTTGCCTTTATATTTATCAGGATTAATTGCCATATCATCCACCATCAGTTGCTCAGCGACATTAATTTGCCATAACTGCAAAATAAAGATAGTGATGAAAAATAATTCCAATAAACAAGAATACAAGACACGGCTATGATCAATTTACAATTCAAAGTATGCCAAGTCATATACTGAAGAAGGCTCATGCCACAAGTCTTAGTTTATAGTTAAGTTTAATCAGCACACAATTTAGTGGTCTGAATGTTGTTCAACTCAAACATAGCTATTATGTTATATAAGAGGCAGAACTCAAGTGACACCAAGTTCCTTTGGGGACTAATTGATCCTAGAATTGAAAACATCCTTGGAAAGCACATGTTAGAAGAAAAGGACACTGTAGCTGAAAACATTAAGCTGCCAAGCCAACATTGCAATACCCAAAAATTAATGTTGCAACACTGCATGTATACACACTCAAAATTGAAGTGACCATGCTGGTTGTAGGATTTTGAGTTTTTTCTCAGGTGTGAAAATTTGAGTGTAGTAAGGTTAGCACTGATAATATGAATACATTTAGAAAAGATTTTCATACACTCTTTGCTGGAGTTTCGAGGTCAGGAACAAATTGGGATCTTTGGAGCAAGGACAAGGTTCCTTGATGTGCATTAGGCCTTAGTTCATCCAAGCATATGGGGAGTTTTTCCTGATCTCATTTTTTTTTTTTTTTTCATTTTCTTTCTCTCCATGCCTAATTAACTCTTTAATGTGGGGGACGATGATTTCAACTGAATCTCTTCAAAATTTGACTAGATCTTTAATTCAATGCTTGTTCTTCAATAAGAGGTTGTTCCTTTTCTTGACATTTTAACGATATGATCAACCATGAATTTGATTTAATTATGAGACGATAGTAACAATAGTTTTTATTTATGACTATTGTTTATGGAAGATTCAACTGAACATCCACCCGTTGAGGTTCTTAGGCAAAGCAAAGGGTGGATACGAAAAAGGCAGATTTTTATTTTTGGCATCACATTTATGTAAGTATGAATAGGATCCTGCGTAGGTTCCTTTAACAAATTAAACATGAGGATGAGCCAGTTTAAAGCTAAAAACAAAGCAACGCTCACAGAAGGGATTTGGAACCAATGTCTGCTTATAGACATCAATTCCAAAAGAGAAAGTTGCCATGACCTGGACCATCATTGATGTATAATTTGGTTAAACAGAGAAGCATGCAATGCAGGAGCTAAATAGCCCACCACAAATGTTTCTTCCAACTACTAAAGAGATGAATTATGAGAAAATATACCTTATCAACGTATGGATGATTAGACAATAGAGGTTCTTCCTCTGGCTTGTCTTTCAAATCTTTTCTAGGAACAGGAGGTCTTCCACAATCACGCTACAAATTTTAAAATCTTAAATCAAGAACATAACTATCATAATAACACTTTTAAAAACAAGCCACATTTTGACAGGTTCAAAACATGAACTCCGGGGGGAGTTGAAGCTCATTAAATGTTTAATATTTTCCATTGAAAAGGCACTAATGCTTTGCAAAAATTAACCCTTTGTTACCCACTCTTTCGAAATTATCAATGTAATACAAAAGTTTCCAACTGAGAAATCTGGCCTAATATATTATATTAAAATTTAGTGTTATAGAATCCTTGATATTGTACATCATACATCTAAATATTAGCATTGAGTCTGCTTGATTGTAATAAAGAATCATAGAGACAAATACTTCGCCTGAACCAAACCTTATGAAAATATCTTGAATCAAATAAAATTAGACAGTGAAAAATACATTTGAATACTTTTCCAAAAATTGTGAGCATGAAAGAAATCACAGCAAAGTTATTGTGTTCCATGAGTGCAGAATAACTTTTATAATGCAACAAGATTGGGGTGGTTTGGTATAACAGAGGGGAAGGTGTGCAAACCCGTAATTCATCTTCATTGGTATCTTCATCACGATGAAATATTGGTGGGAAGTCAAATTTGTGAAAACTGAAGTTGAAAATGAAGCAAATATTAAATTTACGGTTTCAAGCTAATAAAGATTAAACTATGCATTAAGAACGAGTTACAGAACATTGAATGCCAAAAACATGTAAGCATACATTAGATGATCCACATTTGGATCAACAAAACGAAGTTCAATAGGAAAGCGGAAGCGATAAGGATCTCGCTTTGCCTGCAAAACAAAATGCGAATCTGTGAACAAATGGTAAAGGAAATCTATTTATGTTTAAACACAGAAAACATGGAATGTAACACCATAGCGATTAAATTCTATTTGATATTCAAATTTGATCAGCATGCAATTTTTGGATACAGATGCAGAAATATTGAACATATGATACACAAGAAAAAACGTCAGTAACATAAACCATTGGCAAGGTTAAAGTCATATCAATGGTGTATTAATGCAAACTCTGAAGCAAGATATTTTCCATAGCTTAGTACTAAAAATAGATTGAAAAACAAAACCAGCAACCACTAAGGATTGTGCCTAATGCTTCACAAACTACACGAGTTCATGGCGTGCCCAAGTTTGGTCCTTAAAACAGTCACATGGTGGATAGGCTTGAGGTTGGGTCCTCAGTTCATGGTTTCTGTCTTGAGCCAATGATGGTGAACTGTAAATTCAGCTATAACTTCTTAGGCTAAAAACTTGGTACAACGCCTCTGATGATTGGAGGGGTCTTACCCCAGCTGTACAGGCCACGAACCAGAAATTCCATTCTAAGTTCCCTCCCTCCCCCAAAGAGGCAGCAAGTGCACTTGAGAGAGAAATTGTACATAGCATAATACATATTCAGCTAAAGTTTCTATTGCAAAACTTAAGTAAAACAGTATGAACAAAAAAATGTAGTATTGACTTATCAGGAAAATGACTTTTGTGACTTTGTTCATTGATATTAGTTTTATAAATAATCAGAGCATTTACAAATAATTACTACCTATAATTACAAATATTCTACTGCCTGATTTGTATAACCGCATCTTACCAATGAATTGAAAGAGACTGCAATTCGGTGATTGTTCTTTATAAGGTAAAAGCTTCATAAAATAATAATACATAGGCCGAAAGTAGTATCAGTTACGTAAGTTGAATAGTGATTGTCATGCTGACAGTTTAGGGCAGAAAGTTAGTAGCAAGTTACGTATTAATATATATATGTATAGGGGGATGAGTGTATACTGCCTTCTAGTAATTTGCGGGAACTCTTTGATATGGGAACCTGATTGAGATAGCAAATTCTGCTGTATTTTGTGTTTTCTGTGTTATTTAATATTACTCTTCTCCAATATATCAATTGTTGTACTATCATAGCATTAAAAGAACATTTAGTGATAACTTTTGGGAAATTCTCAAACAGCGACTGAAACACTCACCATAATTTCAACAATGACGTGCATACCCACTTTTATGTGATGGCGAAGCCAAAACCAATCATTTCTCCTTATAGGAACCCACCTAGAACACAACATGGTAGATGAATCTTCCAGAAGAAAAAGTCACATAAAAATTTAAACATCAAATAGGAACACTAAAACTGCTGTGAAAGAAAATCATCAAAGTTACTAGTGCTGGCAATACAGCTATGGGAAATGGAATAAAATATGTAGTAGTTCATGGCTGAGTATAAAGAAGACATTAGTTTTAAAGATTTACTAAAGGGGATTGTTTAAAACTATAAATAGAATATTGTTGGCATGTTTTTAATAACCAGCTACTAAACAATTACTTCTCTCGTATTTAAACTATAAATCCTTTTTCTCTACCAAAAGAATGGATCCAAAATCAAAAGATTTAACTAATCTCAAGAAGTATCTTTTAATACATGTTCCTGTCCCTGGCTACCTCTGTCAATGGCCATTTCAGTGCAACAAATCCTCATGAAGCTGCTTTTATTCTAGAAAATGCATTCAGTAGTTTCTTTTGTCCCCTGAGAGATTGATTATGTATGCATGAAATAACCTACCACATTCTAAAATCAACTAGCAAGATTATGATAGTGAAAGTAACTTTGTTATCATCTGAGTAGTACCGCAAATTCCAAACAAGAAGGAAAGTACCACTATAAAAAAAATATTCGAAGAATACTTAAAAGGACTAACACAAGTTTTGATAGCTACCCATCATGTACCCCGCCAATGTCAACAAATGCCCCTTGATAGAGATGCAACATCGTAACCTTCCCAACACAAATCTGCATACAAAAATGTCCCAGGTAATCAAAGAGAACATATGAAATTTACCTTTTATTATGAATTATGTTACAGAGATTACAGAAAAAAGTATGTTTGAACTTTTGTTTATATAAGCGTGAAGGTGAAACAAAGTTAAACAAAAATCGGATTATCATTATCTATCTATTGGATTTAAAACACAATTATCCAAATAGGGTGACCACTGAGCCAGGAAAAGAGGGGAGACACAATGCTAATACTCGATAGAAATCTCAAGACATATCATAAATAAAGTTTCTACCTTCTAGAGTCTAGACATGAAAAAAACATGAGTGAAACCGCTTACTTACTTGGCCAGGATAATAGAACGGAAGCTCATACTGCATAAAATGTTAAGAAAAGAGTAAGAACTCGAACCAAGTTTTCTAAAGCTTCAAACACAATTAAAGGAAAGAACAATTGCAAAATCATCCTACCATGCCCTCCTTGTAGTCCTTCCCTCTTTTCCTTCTACCAGGGTAATAATCTTGGTCTTGCTGTCACAACCACATTCATCAACATAAACCATATTCAAAAGAAGAAATAAAGCAAAATCTTAAGAATTTATTATTTTGAGAAAACACTTTCAATTTTAATTACAAAACTTTTCCTAGTATCGATAGAGCAAACTTTAAAATTTACCTCCTGTAAAGTTAAAGAATGAAATTTAAAGATTCACCATACCTGAGAGTTACGGTAAAATCAAATACATATATAGTAAACTCCTTTGGATAAACCCAGGGTATTCTCTAACTAAGAGTCGTACTAATTCTTGAGATACTAATGAGATTTATTAATAGTGTGTTTGGATTAGCTTCCAGGTGAGAAATAATCAATTGATTTTTCACAGAGGAGGTACAGCACCAAATAGTTGTTTCTACTTTTCAGGTTATCAATAGATTTTCTAGGATTTTATTGAATCTTGTATGTTATCAAAACACGCTATGAAGGGGTAAATGTTTCCCAACAAATGCACCCCAACAAAGGGACGCAGATATTGAAATCCAAATTACATACTTGAGAGTATCTCTCAATCATTCCACAAAATCTGTGTGTATATATATAAAACAACCTCTAAAGTTAATTAGAATGCCTAGTGTGATTTTCTAATGGTTATTATTGCATTTTATCTTTTTAAGCTACTTCACCTTCATCAGCACTTTTAAAGGAGTCAAACCGCACATTTTTGTGAAAAAAAAAAGTCAGAAAAAGAAATAAGATGATGTCCTCTCAATCAAAACAGCAAAAAGTTCAGCAATGGTTTGAAGTGAAATTGCAACCTTATAAGACTCCTCTTCCAATCTATCCTTGTTAGCCTCCACCCACTCCTTATACTGCTTCAGAAACACCTTATACCTATCCAAGCACACGTCATCCGTGTCAGTCCTCACTCCACTCTCCACCTCCTCCAAGGTCACCTTCGCCTGCATCTTATGCGCCTCTCGAATAAACGCCAGCTCCTTCCGGTCCACGCTCCACCCCCGCGGTGGCCAGTCGCGCGGCGGCACGAGACGCACCACGAGCGGCCCCGACCACGTGGTCACGAGCGGCTCCGGAATCTCGCCCTTGATCTCGAACTGCTTCGCGAAGTACTCCTCCTCCGTCAGCCCCATCTCCTCCCTCTTCTTCTTGCGGTAGCTAGGGCTCAGCATTTTGAACGCTTCGATGGCTTCGGGGGTTTTTAGGGGAACTTCCTCGCCTTCGTTGAGGCTCTTGCGCGCGAAATCCGCTTCCGGAGAGAGGATTTCCTCCCACGGAGCCCACCCGCGATCGATCCAGTTGCGACGCCGGGCTTCATCCTCGGATTCCTTGTCGTTGGGGCCGAAGTTCTCGGGGAAGCTATCGTCCACCGGGAACTCTTCCGTGCGGAAGGATTTGGGGACGAGGAAGGGGCCGGGGAGAGGGCGGAGGCGCTGGAGGAAAGGCGGAGGATGGTGGAGAAAGGGCGGAGGACGGTGGTGGAATTGAGGAGGGGAAGGGTTTAGGGGTTTAGGAAAAGTGAAGAGATAAGAAGTTTGCAGGACTTGCATGGCTGGAAGTGGAATGACACAGCGTGTTTTGCAACGGAACTTTCTTTCCTTGCTTTTGTAGAGCTTCAGCGGATAAAGTTTTTTTTGTTCTTTCCCCTTACGGTAACATTACAATTTTCTTTTCTTTTCTTTTCTTTTTTACTTTTTTTTAAATTGTATTATTTTGTTCCTCCGTTATTTTAAAAAATTGTATTTTTCAATTGTATTATTTTGTTCCTCCTTTATTTTAAAAAATTGTATTTTTCAATTGTAAGAGTTTTTTTATTGTAAAAAAAGTTTATAAAGCCTAAATGCGATACAAATTTACTTCAAAATTTCAAGACACTATTTTTTCGTTAATTTAACTACTTGAACATAATTGACCTTCTAAAAATATATCTTTGTTTAGGTCAGTTTACGGTGCATCATTTTGTTTAGGTCAGTTTACGGTGCATCATTAATTTCAGATCTAAAACTCAACGGATTAATGTTTTGTTGAATTAGTACGGCGATGATGAAAAAACCAGTAAGAAAAGAAATAAAAATTATATAAAACAATGGAGATGTAGGCATGGCGAGGGCGGATTTTGCCTCTGGATTCTTGCCCTGACTTTTTTTTTTACTGTTTCAATCTCCCTTGCGATTATAATTGAGGTTAGAAAGATTTCGGGCTTTCTTACTCCCGTTTGATCTACATTATTTTTTAAAATTTCATTCCCGTTCTGTCCTTACATTATTTTTAAAAAATTAATTATATTTATAATAAATTAATTTTATTATTTATATGTATTATATATATATAAATAAATATTTATAATTTTACAATTTTTAATTATTATTAATTAAATATATTTTTTAATTTATTATTTTATATTAAAATAAGTACATAAAAAATATTTAACTATTTTTATATTGATATAAAATATTTATAACATTATTATTATTATTATTATTATTATTATTCAAACATTTATATTATTATTATTATTATAATATTATATTCAAATATTTTATTATATATATTTATATATATTAATTCTTTTTTAAATTATCATTTAAAAATATAAAATATATAATTTATAAAAATATATTTAATAAAATAATTATTATTTAATTAATTTAAAATAATAAAAATTTAAATTATCAAATTTTTTTAATCATTTAAAATATAATTATTTTATTAAGATAAAATTTAATATATGATAAATAAGAATAATAAAAACAAAAAAATATAACATAATAAAATCTAACAAAAATAAATTATAAATAAAATAATATTAATTACTACGTGTAAAATATTTAGAAACATAATTAATTATTAATATGCGTATAAAATATTTAGAGAAAGAAAAAGAAAAATTAACTGTGTTCATTAAATTAGTTGAAAAGATTGAAAAAAACATGATTGAAGAAATAAAGAAAATGTGAAAAATAAAAGATAAGAGAAATATAATAATATAGTGAATTAATTGATATAAAAGATTAAAGAAAAACAAAAGATTAAAAATTGAGTAAAAGAAAAGTAAAAATAATAAAATATAAAAAAGGCGACCTTATATATAATAGAAAAATAAAAAAAAATATTTTTAAAATATTCACATATTAAAATTAAAATTTAAATATAAAATAATAAAAATATGAAGATTGCATTCATCTCCGCTCCAACTTAAAATAAGAAAAACTCAAACTCGACTCTATCAACTCCATCAAATTAGAGACGAATTTATTCTCACGAGTTAATTATTATCCCTAATGGTATGGCATGGATGAATTAGAAAAAGATCATCCTTAGGTAAATAAAAATAATAGTAAAAAAATAAAAATAAAATGTTTTACAATAATTAAAAATATGAAAATTTGTATTCTATTATTCCTTTTCTATTATAAAATTATTGATTACGTAAGAAATCATATCATAAAAATAAAAGAGATATATTTCCATTTTATTCAAAATTGGGGGAAAAGTGTTTTCTAATTAGATTATGTTTAATAAAAATAGCACAGAATCTCAGTAAAAACTGAAGTTAGAAAGTAATCCAAAGTTAGTAGTTAGCAACTTTAAATTATTAAACTAATTAAATTATAAATATTTAATAAAATTGTTTGTTAAACTGACAAATATATACATAATTATAAATAAAACCCATAAAATACAAACTAACATATAATTCAATCTCTTTCAAAAAATAACCCAACCGATTATAACAAAAAATATTAAAATTTATTAGTAACATTATTTTAACAATCAATACATGGATATGATTTGCCAGCAAAAGACTACCACAACAAGCACGACTGAAGGCAATATGTTTTTTTTCCTAAATAAATTTTTTTATAGATAAACTCCTTCAATCAAATTTAGAAGTGAATTAAATGCACTAACTAACTGTGACAAGTTATAAAAATTAAAGAATAGACCAGGTTAAAGTAACATTTTTATTTACACAATCTAAATCTAAGCTCAAAAATACTAATGCAGTATAATCCAAACTTTGGTATAAAATACTCAAGCAGTATTGAGTCGCGGGGCTGCGTTTCAGGCAATACATAAATATACTACGCAAACACATTTTAATCCCAAAAATAAGGCTTCCGTGCATTATGCTCATGGTTCATCAACAACTTATATATGAAAACATAACTAGATAAATAGAAATTATCTGTACATAGAATTCTTACCTGGGGAGAAGAAGGGAATGCCCATTCTTCAGAAACATATCATGTCTAAAATAATCTTAGGCTACACAATAGGAGACTGCCTGAATTTATTCTCCGCCGTTGCATCCAACTCTCTATCAACAAATCTTCCTTGTTTTTAACTTTAAGGTAATCATCCATATCATACCTCAATCCTTTGGATTTAGCTGATAATGACTGCTCCTTGTAACAAGAACTTTCTCCAAATTTACTGTATACATCTTTTCCAACATACTCCTGAAGGTAATCAGGGCTCCAGCTTCCACGACTGCTGATAGAAATGCTACCTTGATCTTGTAATTTGATGTTTTCCTATGACACGAATAAATTTCAGCAACCCAAGTGTATAATAAGAACTATACTTGAAATATGGCTCAACGATTGTTGGCATAGTTTAAAGTTTTCTCATATCAATGGCAATTTTGTAAATTATCTTTCCGATCCCTTGAATTTAATTTTGCTATTCAGGAACTCCAGATTTTGCAACATATGTGGGTATTTGTCCAAATAAAATGATGATGATGAAATGAATCATACCAATTTTCCAGAGCTATTCTCTTAGAAGTATAATAAAGCTGGTGAAATATATTAAATTCAATGTCAAACAACAATCATATTATTATCATATGGTCATGTTCCTCCCACAAATTATCCAATCTCAAACACATTATATGAAAATAATTTGAAAAAACACTAATAACCTGAGTAGAACTTGAAGTTTTTGGGGTGACTGCCATACGTGCCTTGTTCAGGCTTGTCATAGGAGATGCATCATTACTTGTCTCCCATTGCAACCATGGCAATGTAACCCCATCCATCAAAACAGGAAGAGATCTAGGCACAGTGATTGGAGGACTATTAACTTTTTCTGGTTTTATTAGTCCTCCAATCGATGAACTTGCATCACTCCTTTCACCATCAAGTGATGAAATATCTGTATCTTCAACATTTGATATAAAATCCTCAATATATCTCTCAGCCTCCTCAGTCAAGCGCATTGACACTCGTCTTCTGTCATTACTTCTCTGGACAAGAAAATAAAATAAAATAAATGAAAAACACTGCTTAAATAAATCAAACAATTAATTCATCATCTATTCCTTCCTAAAGAAATACTAATACTGTTTAAATTATAATATCATTATAAGCACCTTCCTGGTTCTTGTTGGATTTTGTAGGTGATTGTCCTCTTTAGCAGGAGTCAACTCATTAACAATCTTAGAAAGTTCTCTTCCTCTCTGCTCCTCATACACTATTTCAGCTAATAATTCTTGTTTTCGCTTCTCTGACTGTAATTTTAAACCAAGAAAAGGCAAACCATGATTCTCTTTGTCAAATAACTTATACCAGCAAACAGAGTATTTCAGTGATCAAAAGAGTCCAAGTTATGCAATGAGGTGGCCTAACCTTGCTGTTGACATTCATGGAAAATTAGAATGTTTGGATTGACAGAGAGTGATGGATTGAAATGGAACAGAATGAAATGATTTTAGGTTCCATTGTTTGGAAGATTTAAAATAGGATGGAATGAAATAACGTTTGATGAAATGGAATCCATCTAATAGGCCTCTACTTTTTCCTCTTCAAATGGAGAGCAGAAATATGGGATGGAACAAATCTTTTTTCCATTAATGATAACTTTATTTTACTTTACCCCATTTTATTCTATTTCATTTCATTTCACCTAATGTTCTAGTGTACTTGTTTCTGCTTGTTGGACCTCTGGTCCCACGTAATGCCAAAAGAATAAAATAAAACCAAGAGTCTATGATACTCAGCTTGGTAAATCCATATTAAAACTAAGTATTTCACAAATTTGTGTTCTCACATCAGGAAGAAAGCAAAGATGTATGGTTTACATTACAGAATTGCAAGTTTCAATAGCATAGTAAAAACTGCAAGGAAAAATATTTTTTTTGTGCTCAGTTGAAGTTTAAACAAAGAATCAACATGCCCGGCTTGTAGAAGATCATTAGCAAAAAATTTATTTTCTAGTAAATGTCCACATATGGATGATAAAAGTATAATTAGAAAATAAAATCCTTAGGCTAGTCTCCAACTATAGTCCTTAATCAAACCCCCCGCCAAACCCCCTGCCCCACCCCCCAACAATAAAAAAGAACTAAAAAATCAATTAGAGATGAGGTGCATTAGAACATAATGAAGTCAGCAAACACTATTACTCAGACTTTCATACAACTATATAAGAAAATGTCATCAGTATGAAAGAAAGCACTTTTTTTTTGTATTTGAACTTTTATTACCTGTTCCAGTTCAGTTTCGTAGCTACTTCTGATTGAAGAATTACTTGATAACAAGTGGTCACCTGCGGATAAAGTGGAGGTCCTTGGTTTCACCACAGCCTAAAAGTGGAAGTTTCATAAAAAAGTAGGAATTTTCTTCAGTGAATAAGGAAGAGGATGCAATCATAGCATGCTCAAGCATGACAGAGACCATACAATACAAACAAGCAGATTTACATAAAATAAACTAATAATTGTTTCACATACCTGTTCAGGTTCCATATTCCGTATTTCTTTCTGCTTTGCTTTGTGCAATCCTTTATCCATGTCATTAAGTGCCACCTGAACATTTTTAAAAACATTAAGAATATTAGAAGAAAATTTCATCAAACTGAGGCAGGGCTCTTGCACAACTGTAATCCTTTAACCTTTTTCTGTGCATAAACTGATCTTAGTTTCTCAATTCCACTTTTCTTAGAGTGAGCTGTTGCACCTTCATCATCAGTGAGAACTGAAGAATGACTCTGAAAAGATACAGAAACAATCTCAAATTTGAGTAAAATACAAATAAACATGTGTCAACAAATTTAAGAAAGGAGTGAATACCATCTTTCATAAGCCATTGTTTTTTCTTTTCAAAACTTTATACAGGAAGTTAACAAAACTCACATTCTTTTCTCTACGTTCAGTTCTTTTAAAAGTTTCCTATTCAAATTAATAACAGAAAAAACCTTCTCAGATCAATCTATCCTTGAAATATTAGTGTTAGGTACTTTTTAACCTGTATCTTCTTTTTCTTAGTTTTGAGTTATACTGCCTTTGACTTTTCAAAATTCCTGTCAACTCCCTCTGTCTTTATTTGTAACCTCCAACCATTGGAAGAAAATGTTACCAATTCACTCTCCTAAACATGACATGTGAGTTTCAATTCGTAGGAAAAATTACTGCTACAAGCTTCCACAGCAAGATATAAACAAGTATAATCCCAAAAATGATAACACTTACAGAGTAGCCATCATATGCCCTCAAATCCCTCTGACTTAGGGACTTTCTGAGCCCTGGTCTTTGATCTGAAGCAACTGGCTTATGCATTAGCTTGTTCCCAACCTCAGTATTTTTCAGATTTGAACGACTTCTAGAATTCTGAGAATGATCCAGGTCACTCTGTATCATGCAAGACATGTACATGCATAAATACATGATTATTTAATGCAAAAGTTAAAGAGAACCATAAAAAATGAGGTCAATCGCCCAATTGGGGAGGGGATGGTAATTTAGAGTGCAAGGAAAGCAGGTTTGTTGGTAACTTAGTTTATGAATAATTTATTCAATGATTAAACTTAAATGAAAAAAAATAGTACAATATATAATCAAATAAAATATTAAGTAAAACATTTAAAAACATAGGTTCTGACAAATCCAACAGATGAGATGGCAGACTTAGCCAAATAGTTTTTGTGTTTAAAGAACATGATGGCAATTACATAAGAATAAACCCCTTCTTTTATGAAACAATATCAACTTCTCTAAAAGCAAAAGTGAATGGCCCCAAGCATGGAAAGCAACAGTGCGATTTTGCCGTGCAAGAGCCTACCATAATCATTTATATGGTACACCAATGGCATTCAAAGTAAATTGTCTTTTTCACTGTAAAAGGAAGCTAGGTCCATGTTTTAGCTATTAAAAAAATTGTTCATTCTTTCCAACAAGCTTAAATGACAAATCATAAAACGAATTAAACTGGATAGATTTCATCGGCACAAACAAATATCACTTTAACAGCACCTTGTTTGGGAAGGCAAATAAGAGGGAAATTACGCTAGAAATGAGGTGAGTCCTCATATAATAAATGTAATGGAAAATCGTTACTAAGTTTTCAGTTCTTTGATTTCCTTCTCTTTAGTCTTCACTTTACTTCCCGTATAACTTAAAACCACGGAAAAACAATATATTACGAAAATATTGTCCTCTTGACACCTAACCAAGTAAACGATTCAAAATACACATTCAAATTTGAGCAACCATTACCCACACAGAATAACTCAAGAGCATAAATTCTCTACCTCAGTGGCGTAAATCGGATTATTAATTACTTTGAATTTATAACCAAACATTGAAATAAAATCCCAATCTAAAAATTATAGCAAATAAAAAACGTTCATTGGAATACCTCGGAATCGCTAATTTGGTACCGAACCACCGATACTGATCTCCGTCTTCTCGAATTTGCATCGGAGACCGGTCTTCCCCCACCACCACCGTCAACACTGACCCTTCTATCATCGCCGACTCCGGAGCTCTTCCTCGAAACAGACCTCCCTCGCCGCTGCGACGCGCCGGCACCGGCGGGACTAGCCTCGGACTCGGAGGTTCTGGTACCGCCGAACCGGCCACGATTCGCGGACTCGAAAAACTCGATGGCGAGATCGTCGAGGCTGATCTCCGGGAAGACGGAACCGCGGACGGTGTTAACGAAGCGGCCTTTGGGAGTGCGACGATCGGCGCCGCAATCCTCCTCGCGGGAGGGGAAGGAGTAGCGGGCGGGACGGCTGAGGCTCCGGGAGCGGCGGTGATGGAGAGAAGAGGAGGAGGCGGAGTCGTCGGCGGAGGAGGCTCCGACGGGAGTCCTCTTGGTGGTGGATTTGAATGCTGCGGTGGCCATCGGAGAATAGGGAAATTGAAATGCAAAATTATAGGGTTGTGAAAATTCAAATTCCACTCATTGCTGGTGAAGAAAACGTGACCTGAGTGTAGTGAAGACGGAGAAAAAGATTGGCGGAGGGACCAGAAAAGCCAGAGAAATTTGAATATCGTAACTGGTCAATTATATTTGGTATTGAGGCATTATTGGTATTCACACGGTACTATACTATATAAGAATAAAACGTATTTACGTATAAGGTAAAATATATATAATAAATTTATTTAATAAATACATTTTTCAATGTAAAATATTTTAATCAGTCTAAAAATTATTGTTAACGAATTTAGTCCTGTTTGTTTCGAGTGAGGAAAAATATCAGAGGCGCATAAATGCTTAATCCCATTCACGTATTTTTAAATATAAAATTGTAAAAATAGAGGAAAATAATTATGAATAACTATGTTTGAAAACTTTTTATTTAATTTTTATTTATTTTTATATTATTATAATTAAAAAATTATATTAAAATAATAAATAAATTTATTTTACTTTTCACTCATCTTTATTATTATTTTTTCTTAATCTAAATCATTTTAGTTTTTACTCTCTTTCATTTTTTTTATACTTCTTTCGTACATTTTATTAAATGCACGATATCATATCAAAAATATTTTTAAAATTTTGATTAGCTGGCATAGAATGCACTTTTTTATCATAAGAAACTAAATTACGCATATAATCAGTTTTAATGAAATTAAATAAATTAATATGTGATAACTAATAAGATAATTAATGCAACAAAATATGATATTAAAAAAAATATATTTATTACAATACATTAAGAGTATAAACTTTTTGTAGTAACATCTAAATATGATAAATCCTCTTAAATTATAAGTTTCAACTAAATAACTATAAGCAACCTAAATATGTTAATATAAAAAATATATAATAATTTGTTTTGAGTTAATTTTTTATTCATGTATTACCGTGCTTGATTTTTATTCGAAATCACTTGTATAACAAGTTTGTTTAATTAGACGGAGATATTAACAAAATTTATCTATATTTTTAAAAATAATTATTATGAAAGTCAATAAATTTATTATATATATATATATAATAGTTTTTATTGGATGATAATTTTTCATTTTTTTATTAAAAATTAAACTTTACTTAAAATAATTTGTATCATAAAAACATTTATTATTGGGATAAAATTTTAATTATAATTTAACTTCATGATCAAAGTTATTAATACTTCAACAATTAAATTTTAGTTTATGTATCGTGCAGGAAAAATAATCTGTTTCATTTGAAAAATAAAAAAGATGATAGAAATTAAAATATTTCTCTATATACTGTGTATTTATTTATTTTTAAAAGTAACTTTAGTACTTCAATGAATATATTTTATTACTAAAACTATTAATTTTTTATCATATAATTTCAATAATTGTACACACTAAATATTAAATAAGTTAAATGTTTATAAATATATAAATCTATATATTGACATTTACTTATATTCTGAAATATTGTTATATTATTATATTAAGTAAAATTATTTAGGAAAACAATAAACACCTTTTTTAAAATTTTACCTACTTAACCATTTTTTTAAAAGAAAATAAATTGCATAGTACAACTAAACAAATATAATTGATTTAAGAATAAGATATTAAATTTTATATTTTAAATGTATATTACATATTACGTTGGTTATGATAGTATTGTTAAAGTAAATTCTCAATGTGATAAGTATTGTCCGTTTTGAAACTTTAAGTATTGTTAAAGATCTTCTTCTTGGAAACTAAGGGGTATGAACTTTCGTATAATTTATGATTTTGACCCTCTAAACTTAATAATAATTTAATACATTTACTTATATATTTATAATTTTATCCTCTCACCCTCCACTAAGTTTTGTAACTCTTATATAATTTATAATTTTAATCCCCAAATTTAATGATAATTTAATATATTTACTTATATATTTATAATTTTATCCTCTCATCTTTTACTATTTTATGTTTATTTATTATTTATTAATAATATATTATTTGACCCTAAAATCAATGTTTTAGGGTTATGTGCAAGTGCATGTGTATTTATAATATATGAAATATATCTTATATGAATATGTATGTTATTGATGCACTTTATACAAATATAACAAAATATCAAATATTAATAATATCTTAATTATAACGGTCTAAATCAAAATAAGAATATAATATCTTTTTATCTTCTTCTTTTAAAAGATAATAAAAATATCTTAATACTTAATTTAAATAAAAGATAACAAAGTAATATTGTCAACATTTTTTTTGTATGAGATCGTCATTTCATTTGCACTATCATGCTTTTCCTTTACAATCTCATGCAAACAAACTTTTTACTTAGCAATATTTTTTTTTTCACAAGACTTTTTTCTTCTTTGCATTAACAATATTTCATTTAAGATCTAACATATTAGAATTTACCTTTTTGATTTTGCATTGGTCTTTACTCCACACAATACCTAAATCAAAATAATAACTTAATATATTTTATTTTTTTCTCTTAGAAGATAATAAAAATATCTTAATAACACAATTACTATTAATATTTTTAACTCGTAAATATTGTTAGTATTTCAATAAGTAAGTTTGAGGTGAACTACTCAATTACAAATTAGTATCCATAATTATTTTTTTAATGTGCAAGTCGAGTAAATAATCTTAAATCTACATAATATTAACACAAGTTTCAGAGTATTACGTCTTATATTAACCTTGACGATGCTCCAAATACCAAGAATGATGAATATTTGTTCTCATGTTTTCATCTCTTTGCAAGCAATGACATATCTTCACAGTAGTTAAAGGGGGTTATGACCCCTCCAAAGTTTGTAACTTACTTGTATATTTATGATTTTGACCACCCAATATTAATATATCATAAAGAAAAAAAAACTCCAGGAATAAATTAAATAAGAAAGATTAAAAATAATTTTATTATCTAATATTTTCATCTTCTCTCACTTTTTCATACTTTCTCATTAACGGTAATATTTTATTAGTATTTAATTGTTTCTTTATTTTCTAAGGAATATAATAAATAAGAAACTATATTTTGTACTTTTAAATTTATTGTTTGTCTCTTTTCCTCCCTCATCAGATTCCATCATTGAAATTATGTTGATGGACAAAGATACTTGTCGCAATCAGAATCGCGACTAGACGACAAAATTAAGTTTTTAAATGAAAGAAAAAACAATGGAGTCACCACCAATATTTATTTGAAGGAAAAATCGGAAAAACCTTCAAAAAGGAAAATAGTATGTGAAATAAATGTTGAGTTCGATAATCGATTATGGGTAAGGAAGGTATTAACACGCGTTCTAAATTATTTTTACTTAGATGTAAAAAATTTAAATATCTAAAAATTATCTATTTTATCCCTCAAATTTATATATCCATTAGATATTATTACTAAATAAAAGATTATATATTTTGATATATATAGCTCAACAGATATCACTTTTCCAGCCTCCTGACCCATGTTTCATTTCAGCTATCGTGACCTAGCCCTAACACTAGGGTTTTGTGGTGTGGCGCGATGCGAGCAGCGACACAGGAGTGAGGGGCATGAAGTGTGGCTAACTGTAGGGTTTGGTATGGTGGTTCTCGTAATTGCGGAGGAGGTGCAATGCTGGCAAAGGTGACAGAAGTCCGATCGGTGAGGTGTTGGGCGAGAGGAAAGGAGATGGATACTGAAGGATAAGTTCCCTACATAGTGGTTGCATAGCGACTTGGTTCGCTGATAGGGCTGCAGATGATGGCGATTAGGGGGTCTGAGTATGGGTTATGATTGGCCGAGTGTCAAGAAGGTGCGATGGATCTGCGGTGGGGCTTGCGGTAACCACCAATGGAAACGCGCTGGCTGTCAGTGATGGCTAGAGGTGGCTACAGCGCAGGACCTAGGGTTTGGGATGAATGGGAAAGGATAAGTGAATGGATGGAAAAGGGAATCAGAGTGGTGTTGGTCGTGCGGGTTTGAGGTTGGTGCTCTATGGTGGCCGTGGTAAGTGGACAGAGGTTGAAAGTGGGGATGCAACGTTGGGGTGAGGTCGCGGTGGCTGATGGCAGTAGAAAAATGGTTAGGTAAGGAAATACGGGTATTGGCTGGGAAATAGGTTTGCCCGGTGAGGGTGACGGTGATGCGCAGCGGTTTTGGGAAGCTTGGTGATGCGGTGAATTCATTTTGGTGGTCACAGGTGATAATGGTAAATGAATTCTTATTGTTTTTTTATAATTTTTATTAGTCATTATGAAATATTAATATGTATAATATGTTTACGTATACAATAAATACAATTGGGAATTAGGAAGAGGGATACAAATACTACAAATTAATAGGGAACCTGTTAATTGTTGTTGTGTTGTTAATTGTTGATTGTCTCTGTTGATTATTGTCTCTGTTGATTATTGCCTCTGTTGTTAATTGTTGATTTGTCTATGTTGATTGTTGCCTTTATTATTTGTTTTAAGTTGCTATATGGTTGTGGCTGTATTGATTGGGAAGTGAATCTAGGTTTACAGGATGTTGAGTTGCTGTATTGATGGTGGTTCTTTGACGTGATTGTCTGTGATAATTTCTTCTTTTTCAAGTCTTTTTTTTTTTTTCTTTTTTTGAAAGCCAAGTTTCCTCCTCTTTTTCTGAAATCTTCTTCTCAGTTTACACAGACCTGCTGGAGCTGGATCTGGATCTTAGGGTGGCTGAGAGGATGGCTGGGTGTTTTTTTTTTATTATCTGTTTGGTGTTTATAATACTTTTTCTTCATCTTTTCATACTGTTTATTTTATTATTGTTTATTATCTTGATTTTTGCTGAGGAACATTTGTTGTTTGAGAAAAATAATTTTGTTTTTTATAAATTTTTATGATTCTATAATTAGAAAAATATTAATAGATTCATTTTTTTTCTAGATATGAAGCATTAAAAAAATAGATTTATTTTTTAAAAGTGATAAA